CACGCCAGGCCCAGCACACACCAGGCCCAGCACACGCCAGGCCCAGAACACCCCAGGCCCAGCACACCCCACGCCCGGCACACGCCAGGCCCAGCACACACCAGGCCCAGCACACGCCAGGCCCAGAACACCCCAGGCCCAGCACACCCCACACCCGGCACACGCCAGGCCCAGCACACCCCAGGCCCAGCACACCCCACGCCCGGCACACGCCAGGCATCAAGACAGAGCGCCGGGCCCCGCAGCCCCGCTGCTCCCGGCCCGCGTCTCCCCAGTGCCTCCTACAGGGGGGCCAGTGCCCTGCCTCCCCCACCACAGCCGTCCAGAGGACAGTTCAGGCTGCTCGTCTGTCCTCCTCCACCTCCACACCATGGGGCCACTGGGGGCCACAGTCACCGACGCCAAGAGGGGGCGGGAGCCCAGAGGGGCCTTCTCCAAACACCCCTCTCCGCCAAGAGCGACACTAGTGTCCGCAGAGGCCAGGAGAGTGACCGTGGCCACTCCATGGGGTGCGGCCCTGTAAAAGTCCTGTGAGGTCCCAAGGCCAAAGCCCTCGGCCCTCCTGGAAGACAACCCCCGCAAGGACACGGCAGACCCCCAAGTCCACCCCAGATGGCTGCAGGAATGGGGAGGAGGTGGGGAGGAGGTGGGAAGCCCACGCAGGCCCCGGGGCCAGCCGGGACTCAACTCCATCACCAAGGCCACACGAGGTGCGCCCAGGGCACCGGGGGCCGGAAACGAGCCACGTCAGAGGCGACGTGGACGTGGCCCAGACGTGACCCTGGCCGCACTCTCCTGGCCCAGGTCCTGGGGAGGCAGGAACAGGGAGGCCACGGTGGGAGAGGCCCGCAGGTGGGGGAGCGTAAGGCTCAGGTCTGCAGAGCTTTGCGGGTTGGGGCAGCCCCGTCAGCCCCAGCCGGCCTGCCCCTCGTGGGGGCCTGCCATCAGCAGCTCTGCCCTGGGCCGGGGTCAACGGGACACTACTTGGCAGAGAGACAGAAGGGACTCGTGCTGTGGGACCCCAGGCGCGCGGCCCGGCTGGGAGCTGCAGGCTCTTGCCCTGTGCTAGCTGCCTCCCCACATACGGGGTCCCGACTGTCCCCCCTCATGCTCACAGGAGGCCTGGGAGGGAGGCACTGGGACTCCCCGCACTTTCTGAGGGCGAATTCACAGGGCCCCTAGAGGTCTGACGGTCTGCCCGTGACGACAGAGCTGGGCGCTGCGCCCAGGCAGTCCAGCCCCGCGTCTCTGAGGGCGGAGACCCCCGAAAGGCAGGAGGGTAAGTGCCGGTGAGGCAGGGGCCTGCCTCTTCCAGACCGCCTGGCCCGGGAGGAGAAAGGGTCCTCGGGTTCCCCAGGGACCCCTGCCCACCACGGGGCAGAAGTGACCCCCTGGGCCCCAGACACCCACTCTCCGGGCCTGACTCCCTCTCCAGTGAATCATGATCTCGGCACTCTCTAGTCGGAGAGTGAGGCAGACACACACACACACACACACACACACACACACACAAAAAAAATTTAAGGAAGAACATCCTTTGTGAATAAATGGTTTTCACATTTTCTATTTCCAAAGGCTCCTATCATCCACTTCCCCCACCAGGCACTGCAGATAAAAAAACAAACTGGCAAAATAAAAGGAACAAATTATTCAAGCCCCAGGGGAACCCCGGCATTCAAATAAGATTTCAAATGACTCTCCTTCCATTAAAACTTCTGCAGCAGTGAAACTGCACGGAGAAGCCGCGGCGAGAAGGGGGTTCCCACGCCCGCCGCACCGGCCCGCCCAGCCCCACGTGCTCGCCCGGCCGGAGAGTGACCTGGCGTAACGCAGGTGCCCACAGGGCAGGCCCTGGCCAGACGCAGGGCCGTGGGGTGCGGACGCCAGGCCCCAGGGACAGCCTTAGCTTCAACTCCTCCCGCACCCTCGCCGGCCCGGTCACCCAGAAGCCTTCAGTGGAGGCCTGAGCAATGTCAGCGGTGATCTGACAGGAAGCCCCTGCCCTGGCTCCTCCAGGCACACCCCCCACGTCCGCGCCCGCCCCTCGGGCCCCCTCTCCAAGCAGAATGACCCACTGCATGGAAACCAGCCTGTGGCATCACCTGGGCCTCAGAGCTAAAGCAGAGGGCTTCTCCTCGTGTCCAGACACCAAGCTTTGCCCTTGCTTTCTGGAAATACTCCCCCCGCTTCCAGCCACCTACTCCTGTCCCCCAGTCTGGCTGCACAGGGCCTTTGCACTTGCTCTTGCACAGCCTGGACTCCTGGGCTGGCTCTCTGCACGGCTCCAGAGGTCACCGCCTCAGAGGCCTTCCCTGGCAGCCGTCCAGCCGCGGCTCAGGGACGCTCACCTCAGCCGGGCCCCCCATCTCCACAGCACCCCTTCCTGCTGATCGCCCCCATGCGCCACCCCCCTGCCCCTCGGTTGAGGTCCTGGCGAGCAGGAGCTGTCTGGTCTCATCGCTGCTCTCTGCCCCTCTGCCTAGAAGTGCCGCAGAGGTCCCGCAAACGGATGGAGACCAGCCGCAGAGGCCCTGGCCTTTGCCCGGGGATGTCTTAAAACCAGTTGGAAATGCCCACTTATCTATAAAACATCATGGCAGAGACAAAACCCAAGTGAAGCCAAAAACAGGTGCCAGCTGCTAGCTGAAGCCAGTGAGGGGCATCGCGGCGCACCCCGCACGGAGCCGGGCGCTCCAGCACAAGGGGCGAGGCTCGCGCGGCCCCAAAGAAGC